GCCGGAACCGACTCAGATTTCAACGGATCCAGTCGCCGGAATGATCGACCTGGGGAAAGGTGGCATTGTAAGAGATAAAATCTCGATAAAGCGTCACAGATCGTGAACATGGACAGGAAAGAGCGTCGTTATATTCAAAATATAGCTGTTTGAAAACATCAAGATTGATCGAATAAATAATATTTGTGTGCGACTGTGGTTCTTTCAGAGCAGTAAAGTATAGAATGTACAAGAACACTAAAAGAAAAAGAAAAAACAACGTAGATCTGATACTGAACATTTTCACAGAGCGAAGACATAGTATTTCATACTATAAAAAAAACTACTTGAATAACTATACCCAAGAGAAGTAAAGTATACAATCGAGTTGCATATCGTTGATGTCTTGTCAGCGTTGCTGCGCCTATTATCCCTTCTTCATTCTCATCATGGTCATCTTCTTCAGGTATAAAGACGTTGTAGTTACTTATCTTCTTGTAAAGCCAATAAAAAATAGTTTTCGCCTGCATCATGTATTTCTCTTAAAGAAACAAATGATCTGTTGTGTTACATCAGCAAAGCATCACAGTATATGAAGAAAAGTTTTGCTTGTAAATAAATCTTCTTCGGCAGAGGAAATAGAAAAGAAAATAAACTATAAATCGCCTTTTCAAGGATCTCACTGGAAAAATTATTCATTTACCGTACTTTGAAGGGAATGTATCATCCAAAATTCTTCTAAAAGTCATTATCACTACGAAACTATACACCTTCATCGGTATTGTCGCCTATGAATTAATTAGATTTTCAGATGATCATATGTCCACAGAAAAACAAGTTGCCTACGCTCATTTCGTATCATCGTTTACACATGATTTCTTATCAGTTCGAGAGCAACTTCAAGTGAAATGTATGACATTGCATTTTACTGAAAAACTCTCTTGTCAGTTTTACATCGTTTTCTTTGTGACGGAAATAGTTGTAATCTAAATGGCATAATAGTTTTGTGTATCTCTTTTTACTACAAAGATAGATGAGAGATATCATCAGTATATGGTTTTGTATGAATTATGTTTTCAGGTAAAAAGCGAACTTTCTGCCAACAGCAGTCAATGAGTGACGCAATTTTCATTTAGTTTTTTTTAATCACTATTGTTTAGGGACAATTACTGCTGATTATACTATTCTGTTGTTGAATACAGATTTATCAAATTGCAATACGGACTTGTTTTACAAGGAAAAACTAAAAAATGGAATTACTTTTGTAACAAAATAAGGTAACAAAAATAATTTTTTAATTGTTTATATTAGTTATTTTCCAGAAGAATCTGTTCAAATTTAGAGCATCGACGAAATAATAATATTAAATTTCCACCATTTACAAACGGTTTGACTAGGACCTATTCCAGGCTTCACTTTTACAATTTGAAATATCAAAATATTTCGCTCGAAAAACGATCTGTCTTGAATTTTTGTCATGATACTCCTGGAGACATAATTTTTGAATCCAGTGAAATTGACATAGGGGTTAATTTTTCCTGGTGTTGCTCGTGGTCTCGCCTACGACTATGTGCATAAGCCGACTCATACTACCTCGTATTTTCTTCCAACATACAGACGTCCTTTACAGAAAAGACCTTTTGATGGCAATTCAAAATCACTATGTCGAAGCACAAAAGTTAAGAAAACAACTTAAATCATTCGATCATTGTTCACATATCAATGAAATACTTAATGAAACAATTTTACGATATTCTTCTCTTCAACATGTGAAATAATATCATTCATGGTGTCAAAATTCTGCGGCAAACCTTGCCTATTCTCATGATCAAGCTCATTTATGTTTTTGTTATTATCATTAGGGGAAACGTTTGACAAAGTTTTTCGTTTTAATCATACGAAAACATTCGATTGTTCATAATACAACAAATGTCAAAACGATGGGAAATGTTTTCAAGTTGGATCAGATTGTTATAGGAAACCCACATATCCGTGTAATTCATGCTATTATGGTAAACAATGACAGCGTTGGTTATAACAACTTGGCTGGGAGTGAAATTTTATATATTCGTTTATGCACGAACATCTTTGGTAACAAATCGATCATTTTTACGGGTCCAGCGTATCTGATCAGATTATCTCTTTCGAGATTTCCTTCGTATGAATCAATGGCTAAATGCAGTGTCAATATAATTGAAAAGGCTAATTTTTATTTTAAGAAAAAAGTAAGCAAATATTCATCAAGTTCACAATTCCTTATTCTATTTGTAATCAACTTGACATATGCGATTATTTTTATCACGAAGAAGTCGCTTCAACAATTAAATGTCCAGAAAATGCGAAGTTTGAAAGAGATTTTATGCGAAAAGTATCAACTTTTATATCGAAATATATGGAATCAATTAATGATTCATAGCTCTTTTTGTAAAACGATCGTTAAATATTGCACTGCCACAAAAGACAAAACAATTTGACGCTAGTGAAACTATAGTTATTTGTTGAAATCAAATCGATTAGTGGGTACTGCTAGAACATTTTTTCTACGAGATTTTTATTTGCTTCTGTCGGTCGAAATCAACGATTGATTTTTTTTAATATTTAGATTTCATTCATCTGAAAAAGTTTCTTTTTTTGAGAATCGTGATATTTTTGCTTACATGTTACGGAATATAAACGAATCATTTGTTGTCACAAATCTAAAAGCTATACAGTAAATAAAGAAAATAGATGGCGAGTTTAAGCACATGTCTTCATACGTACAGTTCTACATATTCATAGCCATATCGAAAGCTTTTGTAATGCCATACCGTCAGCAAATACGAGTGCATGACGACGTTTCTTCAATTTGATCTTCTTCATCACACATCTCTTCCATCTATTTCACGACAGATTCTCCAATACTCAAATTTTCGGTCAGTTTTCTGATCATTTTTAATTCTGCTTCATACAATTCACAATCGGCAGATGTCGCTTGCAAGCTTTCGCATATTGCCACACTCGATTTACTAAAGATATGTATTGTTTGTATTTGTCTTGAAGTAGCCAGTCAAGTTCAATCAATAGTCTCTCCGAGGCACCTATATAGTTACAAATAAGAAGACTGAAAGCAAAGCTTAATCCTACTAAAAGCTGCTCGATTGCCTAATGATTCGCTATCATTCACGGCCAGAAAAGATTTCATCAGCTCTAGTGATATTGACCGGTAGTTTCGAGTACCATTCAGATGTTCCTTCCTTGATTTGTGAAGCTAGAAGTATTCTTATCACGCATCGCCTTCTACATCCATTTCGCTGATCACTCGTCAATGGTAGTTTTTACCATTCTCGCAAGTATCAAGGTGAAGAAAGATGAAATTTGTTTATATTTCTTGTCAACTTTATACTCTTTCTTTCTTTCACACAATCGAAATTATCTCGCAGACTCATTCGTTTTATTTCCTCGTCTCGCACTCATAAACAGTCAGAGCGAAGAAAAAGACGACGTTGCTTATTCAATTATTCTATGTCTACAACGATTTGATTTATTTTTCTTCTCTGAAAAAAATGTTCCAAACAACCGAAATTTGATTAATAAATGTTTATCTATTGACTTTATTTCCTAATGCATGTAATCCGTGTTCACGTCGTGTGGACTATAGAGATTGGTCGAATAAGGTGGTGATGTGTAATACATTTTGCTGTTTGGATCAATCCTAAAAACAGAAATTCAAGGAAGTCTTTTCGTTCTGCAAGAAATCGAAACAACGTACATTTTGTTTTCATTAACCATAGGTAAAGGTAGAATATAAAATGAAAGAACCAGTAGGAAAATTACGCTGACTAACGAGATAATCAAAGCAATCAAAGCCATCCACCATGCAAATGATAGATAACCTAAATAGGTAGTTTTGCCTTGACCAGCAAATAAACCAACAGTTGCCGACGCAAAAATAACTAAAAGCTTTCGTTCAGTTACAAATATTTTTCATCGAAAACAAACCTGTGATCAGCATTGACATTGATGATGCGAAGAATAATATTCCCATCGATCTTTGACACAAACCAATGAGAAGTAAAATTCCTGCGATAATGTAAAAGACGAGTGCAACAACCTCCAATGATTGACTTGTTCGAACGAAATCCGGTGGACCCATAAATGCCGTATTTGTTGCATTACTAGGATATGTACGAGCACTCCAATCCGCGCAACGATCATAACCGATGACCTAGATTTGGAAACAAAACGGCAAATGATATGATAGAACGAGAAAAGTGTCGTACTTGCACATCACATAAACGCCATATGCCAACTTTAACTGGAACTGCTGTGTAAACAATCCAATCAGGAAGTGAAAATGATATAATATAAAGAATAAATGATAAAAAGTAGGATGCCAAAGATATCCAAAGACTTGTCAGACCAATTTTACCAGACACGCGAACGAAATTCATTCTTTAGTCTATCGTTATACTCGTTCAAATGAAAAGATGACAAAAAAAAACGAAATAGGTCAACATCATTCATGCGTTAAATGGACATTAACGCTTTT